TGATAAGACACAGCCGCACATGTGGAGAAATTGGAGAGGGTCCAGAGAAAAGCAACAAGAATGATTAAAGCTCTAGAGAACATGACCTATGAAGGAAGACTGAAAGAATTGGGTTTGTTTAGTTTAGAAAAGAGAAGATTGAGCGGGGACACAATAGCAGTTTTCAGGTATCTAAAAGGGTGACATAAGGGGGAGGGAGAAAACTTGTTCATCTTGGCCTCTGAGGATAGAACAAGCAGCAATGGGCTTAAACTGCAGTAAGGGAGGTTTAGGTTGGACATTAGGAAAAAGTTCCTAACTATCAGGGTGGTTAAACATTGGAGGTTGTGGAATCCCCATCTCTAGAGATATTTAAGAGTAGGTTAGATGTAGGTTAGATAAATGTCTATCAGAGATGGTCTAGACAGTATTTGGTCCTGCCATGAGGGCAGGGGACTGGACTCGATGACCTTTCGAGGTTCCTTCCAGTCCTAGTATTCTAGGATTCTATGTTGATCTGCTGTGGGTTACAATAACGCAAATCTAGAGTGACTCCTGCAGTGCCTACTTTATCTCTGATTTTAGTAATTAATTTAGGCATTTCAAAAGGATCTTTTTTTTCTGGCTTTAACAGTTTTTCACTATAGCAACATTCCCATTATCGAAACACTCCAGAAAGAGTGATTGTATATATTTCTTTGTTTAGTTTAAAAAACATTAACAAGATATCTCTTTATCATGTAAGTGAGCAGACAAGTTAAAATTATGACAGTCTAGCCTATGAAGGGTGTACAGTTCACATGTACTTTTATCAGTGAAGCTTATATAAATCTTCACTTGAGCACTTTTTTAAAGATAAGGACTGATTCCCAGCTAGTGAGAGGCAATCTCTTCATAGTAATTAAATACTTTTAAAAACACAGATTAAGTGGCCAAATATCTTTAAGTTCATATAAGCTATTGAATGATAGCTGCCGCTTTATAAATGCTCTCTAAACAAACTGTTTAGGTGGGCATTTATTTTAACATTTAAAAATATATTTAAAAGATGTAACAGCAATGTCCATAAAAAACGTGCAATGAATGTGCCCAAGAAAACTAATCTACATTTTGAACTATGGACTTGCACCACTTTAAAGAAAGTAAGTTTGCAACTTTGCCACTGGTCCTATAATGAGAAGTGTGTGGATGGACTTCCAATAGAGTCAGTGGGGCTTCTCATCAGAGGGTCCCCCATAGTTCTCATTGTAGGAGTCAAGACCTGTAAAGGGCTCATCCCATTGTCCACGGATGCATTCTGTGGGCTTCGAATTGGGCCTAAAAGTACTTCCCTTTGTGTACAGTGTGTGAAATGCACTTGGACATGTTAGTAACAGTTGGTATTTCTTAGGATTTAAAGTAGATCAGGAAAGATGTGGCTTGATGATAGTGCTACAGCTGTGGGGCTTTCTGACTGATTCTGCAAGGGGTTGCTGAAGTAACAAGAGAAAAGAATTTTAGGCCTCTAGGTTGGGGGGTTCGTTAACAGGCTGATTCAGTAGAAATTAGAGTCCTCAGAGTCATTTGAAATGAAGATTTTTCTGAGGGAGCTCAGCTTGATTTTGAAGCACATAAAGATC